TGAACCATTGCTAATTTTCATCAATCAATCGATAAATACTTGTTTCGTGGGTTTGTTTAAAAACAATATATTTCATATATTATTAATTTATGAACACCAGACTCATGGCCAACAGTACTATAATTCAAGCTTTAAAAAAAAGCTTACCTGACATGTTTATTTTCTCTAAAAGACTTGTGCTTAGGAACAGTAAACAGTACTTCAGCACTATACTTGAGGACATTTTAAACAGCAAAATCATGAACAAAATACACAAAAATACAAGAAACATGATTCTAGATGGATTGCAAAAAAGACAATTGTTTACAGCATGACAGCTGAAACAAGAACGCAGAACATTGTCTTGCTGAACATCAGTTGGGCACATGTGCATAAAAGACTCAACCTTTCCCATGTTTTATAAATGTCCACAAATGAATAGAAGAACAAGTGCAGCAAATATCAATTTGGAGTTACAATTAAGTTTTAGTGCATGGATGAACTCACAAATATGGACTCCTTTGAAGTTCGCTATGGGAAAGCAGATAGGAATGGAAGAGTAGAGAAGGATATAGAGGATGTCTAAGATGATGGTTCTGAGAAAGCCTCACAGAGTTTACTTCCCCCAGCAAGCTGATAACATTTTCCCATGTGTCCTCTAGGGACACAGAAATAGCAGACATGCAATTGATGAAGATATGCTGCACAGGTGAAGAAACCACGTATTTTACAACTAATGGCTGTACACCAGACAGCAATGAGAACAGCCCAGTGGATGCCAGGGTGCACATACAGTAGAGACAACTCAGAAGCCCCAGGCCTTCACATCCCAACCCACCCATGCTTCCAGGGCAGGGCACTCCATAACATCTCTGGAAGTTGAATGAAGCCTTCAATAAAAGAGACATCCTCATCAACTGAAATTATTCTAAATGCACTGGTAAATCCATAAGTTGACTCGGACATAATTTTTGCAAATTAGTGAAAATAATCATAATTATTCAAGCATCTGGGGCTCCTAGTGAAGATGTTAGGTCATTGTTGGCTTTGTTCACAATTGACACATATTTCTTGCCATACTTATAATGAGTCAAACACCACCATATCAAGTGTGTCACATCCTAGAGGGACATCAAAACAAGCACAGCAAATAAACAAAAGATGACTTGTAATACACATGAGATGCCTTGGCACAGACAAGGATCATACAACTTCTGTGGAAAACAATGTGGTGATTCCTAAAAGATCTGAAAATCAACCTTCCATACAGTCCAGCAATATTCCTTCTGGGAATATACCTAAGGAACTCAGATCACTCAATAAAAAAGATACCTGCACACACAAATTTATTGCAGCATTATTCACAATAGCGAAAACATAGAACCAACCATGCTGTCCATCGAAAGTAGATTGGATTTTTAAAATGTGGTATATATACATGATGGAATATTATGCATCCATAAAGAAGGACAAAATTATGGACTTCACAGCAACTAGGACGGATCTAGGATCTATCACAGAAACAAAGATCTGAGTACCATATGTACTCACTCGTAAAGCAGACCCTGAACAATTATCATAATACTATAAGAAATAAATTGGCAGTAGTGGGACACTGCCAGGGGAAGGAGAGGGAACACATAACATCAATATGCATACCCAATTTCAAACCAGGTGAAGTGGGAACCAAGGGAAGCTCAACTTTACCTGTATGATGACCACTTATGTACCTAACCCTGAATTGTACCCACATCTTTGAAATAAATAAATAAAAATTTAAAAATAAATTAAATAGAAAACAAATCTCTTCAAATGTTTATGCATGGAGAAAGTTCACAGTAGAGGAGGGAATATTTAACTAGCTCTTACAGCACAAGAATAGTTTATATAAGTAAAGGGAACACAGGTGAGTATTTTATATAGAAAAATGCATGAGCAAGTTGAACAGTAAGGAACTCCCAAGGTATGCCTAGAGGAAAATAAGTAGATCTGTTTAAGTAGAGTAAAAAATTAATAAAGAATTATGTAAAACAATATGACAGGCATAGCAAGAGAAGAATCCATTCAACTTGGATTATGACTAGCTATAAGGACAAAGCAGAAAAAAAGCATAAAGCATAACAGACACATCAAGTTTTGAGTGTGGGTACTGAGAATTATGGTATTAATGACAAAATTAGGAAAGCCAGTGCAGAACTAGTTTGAGGCAAAATAAAGATGAATTTGAGATGACAACATGATATCCTAGGGGAAAAGATAAGCAGATAAAGATTTAAAATGGAATCTCAGCAGAGAAGCAGAATAGGAAAAGCGAACTGGAGATTTATTAGTACAGAAATATTCACTAAGGCCTGCAAGTAGGTGAAGAGCTGAAGTGAGGCAATTAGAAAGAAAAGGTAAAGGAGCAAAAAGTATCCACAAGGACAACAAAGAAGGAGCGGTCAGGGAGTTGGGATGTACATTTTACCCCAAGAGCAGAGTGAGAAGACAATTCCAGAATCAATGATCCACTGTGTCCATTACTACAGAGGGATAAAAGAGATAGAGGACTAAACAAGTTCTGTAGCCAAGCAATTTACCTTTGCCAGCAATTTCAGTAGAGTGATAAAGGTGAAAGTTGGAATGCTTTCAAGAATGGGTTAAGGGATGAGTTTATAAACAGGGAATGGAGATATTGATCACTCTAAAGAAAATTTTGAAATTGATAGATCCACAACATCATCAAAAAAAAGCTTGGGAAAGTACATGTTTCTTTGTCTTTTTGTTTGATTTTGGTTTTGTTTGTTTGTTTGTTTGTTTGTTTCTACATCCAAAGGAGAAAGAATGGAGATCTAAAATAGCAATAGGATTGACAGTCTTGGAAGGTTTAGTGACAGTAAGATCTAACCTTCTTATGTTTCCGGACTTGTTCTAAGAAGATGGTTATTATTATTATCCACATTTTAAAGATGAGTAAATGGAGAGGCATGTGGAGTCTAAATGACTTGCCCTATATAAGCATCTGGAAGAGGCTGAATCAAGAAACAAACTCAGATAAATTGATTAGACGTATCATACTCTTATTCTGGGCTACGTTATTCTCAAGGATTAAAGAAGAAAGTTAAAGAAATGACATCCTTCATAAGACTGGAGGAAATAAAAGGAGTAGATAGTGGATATACTGGTTTATTTCAAGACAAAAGTACTCAAGCATCCTTATAAAATATAATGTGACATCCTATTACAGAGTTCTACCTTGAAAGAACAGAAGAAAAGGTTTGGGGTGAGGAGTTAGAACAAGAGAAGTTTGACGACAATTTAGAAGACAAAAGTGCACACTCCAGACTCAGTAGAAGAATAGTAAAATTTGTTAAACACAAGCCCAGTAGAGGAAGAACTCTGAAATTGATACATTCTGCATGGTTCTTTAGAGGAAAAGAGGAGAAGATCTGAGTTTGGAGATGAACCCAGTAGCAAAGCTGTGAGGTCAGATTTGTGAATGATTTTAAGGTTTTGGAGAAGAGATAATTTAGAAGTTAGACTGTGTTTTACAATTCCAGGCATAAAGCTATTTCAAGTAAAACCAGTAAAGATATTGATAAGTTTAGTATGCTATTGACTCAATAGCAACAACACAAGGTTTGTAAACATAGATATCAACTTAGGTAATTCATATATTTTAATATGGCAATGCAGATATAAGATTAAGCAATAGAATTTTCTATTTAAAAACAGATTATTACATTATTATTATCACTATTACTTTGAATATGGATTTCACAGATGGTGGCAAGTATTAAATCAGGGAGAATTTCAAATAATATAATATCACTTGTTAAATATAACACTTTCCCTAATATGCTGCTTTTTTTCTAGATCAACAGAAAGAAACAACTAAAGATCATAAAAATGTCATCCTGAACTTTGCCCAAAAATGTTTTGTTGGTACAAAATGGAAATTGTAAAAATTGTTTAATTCAGAATTGATCATTCAGTGTCATAATCCATTTGCTTTTTAAAAGTAAATTATTCCTTAAAAACTAGTGTACATTTTTTAGCTGATGATTTGGGTTTAGACTGGGTTTATGAACATTTTTAAAAATATGTCTTAGAATCTAAAGAATATTATTCAACTCCTTTCTGGAAGATGTCTTTATTAATTAAGTCAAGTATAGAAATGTATTTCATTGGATATAGATAATTTATAGAATAAATGGTTTTAAACAAGATTTTGAATTTTGCAACAAGATTTAATTGAAGGCTGAGGCTGTCCAGTCAATATTTTTAGGAAATTTTCAGGATATGGGAGTCTGTTCTAGCCAGGAGACTGTTAAGGTAATTCTCAGAAGAACAAACAGCCCGTATACATAAACCCCATATAGTTTGACTGTGTACTTCTAGTAAACACTTAAATCCCAAAGCCAACTGCAATTGTTTTACTTGTTCTGCATCATATATAAATATATACACACACGTACTCACACAAATACACACACATATATGTATTTCAAGTACTAAACATTATTTTTTTACATATTCCATTACTATACACTATGAAGCAGATTAGAAATATTTTTAAATAAAATGTTAATATTATTTAGCAGATATCTGCAGCAATTCTAAGTATTTCATTGCCCCTTGACTATAATTATAAGTGCCTCTTCATAAGGGCGTTGTAATTGAAAGAAGCTTTTTAGGAACTTTGAACCAAGACCAGAATATAAATTAATAATGGCATCCTGTAAGGTTTTGAAAAATGTCTTGGCATTTCTACAATGGGGTTAGAACATAAAACGATAAAAAACACAGAATCAGGTAATGACTTTGGGAAAAAATTTTTTATTTAATTTCCCAAGGTCATTTATTATCTGCTTGTAAGATCATGTGCTTTAATACAAATACTTAACGTGCTTAGTACATTCAAACGTTTAATACTTAAATGTTCTTAACATATAAGTTTCCTCCACTTTTAAGTTTTAAAACTTAAGCATAATTAAGCTTCACAGCATAGAATAATTCCCACTCGGACGGGAAATTCTCACCTTGTTATATGCATTGTGACTAAGGAGGGTGTGAGAATCCTCCGGTTCATCACTCAGTGAGAAGGAGGACAGATGACTGAAGGGTCCTGGGGCAAGACAGTCAGCCTGCGAGAGGGTCTGTGGATGCAGCAGGGACTTAGCAGGAGGATAGAGTTTAGTCTGATATAAAGGATGGAGTGAAACAGGCTTGGGAGGGATTGTCACATCCTGGGAAGAAGAAAGATATAAAAAGGGTATTAGTGGGCAAAAGTCAAGCACACCTGGAATTAGATCTATTACAGACATAGGTCAGAATCCCTTACTAGTAAGAAGAAAGCCTCCTCTCAAGAGAAGGTGGCCCTCCCTGCTTTCATAGTGTAATGTGTGACTGTTTCAATAATTCCTTTCAGTCAAGCCCACCCCCACCCCAAGCTTCTTCTGTAGAACAAAACTAGTACCTACACAGTATCTCCTGAAGGGTGCTAACTTTGTTCTTGAAAATATTGAGAGAAGAAATGTGTAAAGAAGAAGAGAACCCATCCAGAGAGTATGGGTTGAGATTAGAAAAATCATCAGGGAAAAGTAGGTAGCAGTGGAAATTCATTTAAGGATGCTTGTGATTTGGTCTGGAAAAAATTAGGGCATGAAGGGGAGGCCATGGCAGAGGGTATTTACATGCAAGCAGAGAAGCAAAAGTACTAAGTTTAGTCCATGGCACGGTAAGTTATGGGGTTGAGTTTGGCAGGGATAAGGAATCAGGGAGAGGTGAAATGTGGAAAGAATGAATGAGGTCTTCAATGCCAAGCAATGTGTTGTCCTGGAGAGAAACATGTGGTGCAACAAACAAATGAGTTGATTGTAAAGAGGAGAGATTAAGAAGACTTAAGCAAGGTTGGTCTTTGACATGGAAAGGGGACGAATTCAGTGAGTCTGAGGAAGTAAGATCTACTAAATAAGGCCAAGAATTACATGACTAGTGCAAAGAAATCACAGGAATGAGAAATCTTGAACCTAGAGAAAAAGTTGCCAAAAGAGTTACACATAGGTATATATCTTTTACAAATCAAGTAAACACAAATGCATATTCTTATTTTTCATACACAGCACGAGCATACATGTATTATAAGATAGATAGCATTTTCCTTATAATTTTCTTTGTTTTTCTTTTCATTTGACAACAATTTTGGAATCTTTTTCTATGTCATTTCATGATAGCTGTTGATTTTCTATCAAGATGCATTACTCAATTATCCTACTGATTATAAGTGTCGTTCAGTTGATTCTCTTACACGTTTCAGGAATATCACCTAAAACATCAAATCACAACAGAGTGGTAAGTTTATCTCCTCTTTTACAGTTAATACATTTTTCATTTCTTTCTTTTTTTTTGTCTAATTTCACTGGTTGATAACTCTGACATTGTTAATAGTCATCATACTGGTGGGCGGCTTTACTGGAACACATGTAGTACTTGTCCATTGATGATGGTCTCTCTTTTAGGTTGAAATATATTCTAACTTCGCTTTATTTCTCAATCAGTCATTTTACTATTTTCTTCTAAAAGTAATTACATTTCTTAATCAGTGTGAAAAGCTATTCGTATGAAAACTGAACAGCCAACACAAAACTAGCTGCATAAGAAAAAGTCAGCATTGCCATAGGTAGTTGAAGATGCTTAGCAAAATGTGACCTAAACAGCCTCAGGTTTCAGTTTTTCTTGGAGGATTCAAGACTCCATTCTCAGGATGTCACAAGGCAAGCTCATGGTGATCCATGGGAAGCAAAGGATTCACCACATGAGGTTATCTGGTGGTCAAATTCTATCCAATCAGAAGGGAGATGTTTGGAGAGGGTGTCCTGCACTGCTTTTAAGCCTCTAAACTCACTGTGGCCAATCTCCAAACTCTCAGGAGTAGGTCAGACCTAAGCACTTCCATAGGATCAGGTGGTACCCTCACCTTATCCAGGCAGCTAGGCAGGCAGAAGAGCAGAATTTTGTCAGCACATGGACAGGCTACAGAGAGCTAAAATCTTGGCCAGGCTCACTTGACCATCATCAGACTGATAATACACTTACAAAGATGAAAGGATTCTTGGTGTTGACAGACTCATTTCTATCTGTGCCAGTTGTCTTCTATGCTTTGTATAAGTTAGTATCCTGTGATTTTTTTTTTTTTTTGCTATCATCCTGGGAATTTTCTTGCCTCTCTCTTGTGAGCTCCTATTGTCAATATCTTATGTCTTTCATCTTCTTAGTTTCTTCTATTTACTGGGCCCTAAAGAAACTTCCTGGGTAAATGGAGTATTACAAGCAAATTTTGATACGCTGCATGTTGAAAACTGACTGTTCTACTCTTACATTTAATTGTTTGAATATGGAATTCTAAGTCGGGAAATAATTTCCCTCAGAATTTTGAAAGTGTTGTTACACTGGCTTTTATTGTCCAGTGTAGTTGAGAAGCCCAAAGTCATTCTGATTTCAGCTTTTTTTTTTTTTTTTTTTTGAGTTGGAGTCTCACTCTGTCGTCCAGGCTGGAGGGCAGTGGCACGCTCCCGGCCACCACAGCCTCAAACTGTTGGGCTCGGGCGATCCTTCCGCCTCAGGCTTCCGAGTAGCTGGAACTACAGGCGCACGCTACCACGCCCGGCTACTTTTTGATTTATTGTAGAGATGAGGTCTCGCCAAGTTGCCCCGGCAGGTCTCGAACCCACGGGCTCAGGCAATCCACTTACCTCAGCCTCCCAAAAGCACGGGATTACAGGCTGAGCCACTGAGCCCGGCTGATTTCAGCTCTTTTGTTTTTTTGTTTTTGTTTTTGTTTTTTTTTGAGTTGGAGTCTCACTCTGTCGCCCAGACTGGAGTGGAGTGGCCACTCCTGGCCACCGCAGCCTCAACCTGCTGGGCTCCGGCGATCCTTCCGCCTCAACCTTCCAAGTAGCTAGAACTACAGGCGTGCGCTACCACTCCTGGCTAGCTTTTTGATTTATTGTAGAAATGAGGTCTCGCCAAGTTACCCCGGCGGGTCTCGAACCCGCAGGCTCAGGCAATCCACTCACCTCAGCCTCCCAAGGCACGGGATTACAGGCTGAGCCACAGAGCCCAGCTGTCAGCTCTTTTGTAGTTGACCCTTTTAGCTCTCCTCGGTCTGGAAACATAGAATATTTCGTTTTGTTCTCAGTAATCTGAAAATTCCCCAATATGTGCTTTGGTGTGGGAATATTTTCATCTGCTATGATAGGAATTTGATTATGTCCCTTAATCTCTGACATTTGACCTTTTGTTTTGGAAACTATTCTTGAATTATTTTATTATTTCCTTCCTTCTATCTTCTCTCCTCTCTCTCTGGACGTTGGGTTCCCTTAGATAGTCTTGATTCCATCTCCCTTTCAGCTAGAAAGCTTTACTTAATTTATTCTCCAAGAAAATAGGAAGAATATTATTTATTGATAAATAAAGGACAGAGAGGCTTCTCAGAAAGTGGGACTTTTCAGTGCTGTGAAAAACTGGAAAGATTGGTGGTCACTCCACCACCAACCTTTACACTAGATTCTTCATTTCAGCCATTATGTGTTTAATTTCCAGCAGCTCCTTTCCTTCTCTAAATATTCTGGCTTCTTTTTTTTTTTTTTTTTTTTTGAGTTGGAGTCTCACTCTGTTGCCCAGACTAGAGTGCAGTGGCATGCTCCAGGTCACCACAGCCTTGACCTGCTGGGCTCAGGTGATCCTTCTGCCTCAGCCTTCCAAGTAACTGGAACTACAGGCATGCACTACCTCGCTTGGCTCATTTTTTATTTATTGTAGAGACAAGGTCTTGCCAGTTGCTCGGGCTGGTTTTGAACCTGCAGGCTCAGACGATCCACTCACTTTGTCCTCTCAAAGTGCTGGGATTATAGGCTGAGTCACCAAGCCCAGCCAATATTCTGGTTTCTTAAAAATATTTTAGGGTTCTGATTTTATGGAGGCACCATCTTTCATCTAATTTTTGAAAATAGTAATGATCTTGAGTTGTTTTTCTCCCTAAACAATATTTTCTAAAACTTTTCCTGTTTTATTTCTTGTTTGGTTATTTGTTTTGTTTTAGTGTCTGTGTTTATATTTCATGTTGGAGGTCTTCTTTAGGTGTCTGGATATCCTTAATTGTCTGCTAATGTTTTAGATTTAGGAATTAAGAGCTCTTTGGAGCATATAGATCAGGCTATTTGAGTTTCATCATACAGGCTAGCTCAATCTTGATGCCTTGAGGCCTTTCCACTTTGGGCTGATCAGATCCTTAAATAAAGACTTTTTCCATCACCCTGCTAGCAGGTCAAGGCCTGGCCATGTGTTCTGACATGTGAACAGGAAAAGAAACAAGGCCTGTCAGCAGGAGGCCTTCACAGCATCACTTATTCCATTGTTTCCAGAAGAGTCTCCTGCTTTTCACTGTGTCAGTTGTCCCCAGGCCAGCTAGTATGTGAATTACTCCCTTAGGATAGGAGAATGTAAGTTATTGAAAAACATGGGGTTGGGATAGCTGCTTCTGAGATAGCTTTGACCCTATATTTCTTATTTTAGCTACCATTTCTTTACCCTCCTTTCAGAAATATACAGCACCTCCAAATTCTAAGCCTTTTGAGAACTCTAAGGTAGAATGGAATCAGTACTCAGATTTCTCCATGGCCAGCCTAGGATTTAGTTTTCTTGTATCTGCTATGTCAGTTTTTCCTTATTAAGCTATCTTTCTGCCTCTGAAATGTTGTTGCTGTGTCTCCTCTATGTTCTTCCAATTCTTTTAAATTATGCTTTAAAAATATGTCTTTAGAAAAATGTTGAGGAAATGTTGGGAAGGAGCAAATTAACAGGTATTGTTCAATCCACCATACACTACTGAAAGTCCTTAAGAGTATTGTTTTGTTTATTTAACAGAAATAGCACTTGAAGTCTAGGAAGAGAATCACATTATCTTCTCTTTGCATTACTAGAATAAATCCCACTTGGTAAGGATACAGTGTTCTTTATAGTGTTGCTGAGTTCTGTTTCCTGCTAAATTAAGGTATTTGCATTGATATTCATAACTGAGTTCGGACTGGAGTTTCCTCTATGTGCAGCCTCTCTTGGGTTCTGATAACAATGTTACACTTGCTGCATAAAGTAGTTTAGAAGATATTCTCGCATTACTGAAATGTACAATTGTCTGCTATTAGAATTACAGTCATGAGTCGCATAATGATGTTTTGGTCAACAATGA